AACAAGTGCATCGCTTCTAGTAACAAGTGCCTTACTAGTAGTAACAAGAAGCTACTAGTAACAAGTGCATCGCTTCTAGTAACAAGTGCCTTACTAGTAGTAACAAGAAGCTACTAGGAACAAGTGCATCGCTTCTAGTAACAAGTGCCTTACTAGTAGTAACAAGAAGCTACTAGTAACAGGTGCATCGCTTCTAGTAACAAGTGGCTTACCGTTCCTTGCAAATTGGACAACCTCGGTCGGGATCCTTGAACTCGCTCTGTGCTAGGGAAAGGACGCGATAGCAGGACATTGAACACAATGTCTGCCCAACTATCTCCTGGCCGTGTACTCTGAGCAGTCGTTTCCGGTGTGACCTCTGGCCATGAATTGAGATGCTTCACTTGTATCACCAACATATGAATCTCTTGAGGACACGACAGAATGCCGAAGCTCTCAATTCCATGTTTCCTTCGAAGCTCTGTTCGTCCTTCAAGGCGCTGCTCGGCCATCGGAGTGCGCTCCATTCGCTCCAGTTCTCGGTCTCGCACGAAACATAGCGCCATCCTTTCTGCCATTTGCTGGTTCCTTCTGTCTCTCGACGTACGACATCATGTAACAAGAAGCTACTAGGAACAAGCGACATCATGTGATTGATTTTGGACTTCAGGCCTGCTAACTTTGCTTGCACGCCTAGTCTTTGGTCTCTCCCATTGCATCTGGATCCGTCTCCGCCTTCTTGAACTCTTGAAGCTCTGCTACGTTCGCATGGAATGCCGCTTCTCCGAGGTTGGAACTTCCACGCTTGAAACTTCTCTTCCTTGGCTCGAATGAAGTCCTTGACTTTCGCTCCTTGTTTAATGCTTTCTGCTTCATTCGGAGTACTTCTCTGCTCTGTCGGGACTGGTTCTTCTCCTTTCACCCGTTCTATGCCGATGAAGAAGAAGTACCATTTCCAATGTCCACAGGCTTTCTTCGGCTTTCCGATGTTCTTCTTTTGCAACTGCTTTGCTCTTCCAATCTTTCTCCTTTTCTCCTGGGCCAGCTTCCCCAATCTCCGTATGATGGGTGCCCACCCGTCGTTCCATCTCCCTTGGTTCTGCCTTTCCATGACGTATCCGAAGATGTCAGGCTGGAATCCGTCTCCTCCTCGGGCGATTGTTGCTTCTCAAGACGAGCTTCGGGCAGCGACCTGATGGAAAAAAATTTGGTTTTGAGTGACGTCTCTCTAGAAAGTCCTTGCAGGAGGCCATGGCCAGTAGGTTGGAGGCCATCGCTCTTAGGTTAGTGTGCCTTGTTTGCCTCTTGTTATTTGGGTGAGCTTCCTACCCACCTTGTGCAGAAAGCTGAAGGCGCCTTGCTGGGGTGCTCTCTCGCCCTTCTGTGTCAGGGACTCTTTGTCTTTGCTATCAAGCTCTGGGGCACAGCTGTGAGTTGGCCGCCACAGCTGCTTGAGCCCACAAAGGACATGTGGAAAAGGACATGGACAAACAAAAGAACCGCTTCTGAAGTGCGTTCAAGCTACATGTCAAAGCAAGAGAGGAAAAACAGACGGAAACTTAAACCGAGCACTTTTGTCTCCCTTCTTTCCGCTCACAAAAGGGGGCAGCGCAACAGCGTAACAGCAGCCTCCAGGACAACATGGGTAGAGGCGAATCCCGTAGTGCAAAGCTGAATCGAGGCAACAGGGATTCGCAACAGGTTTGCTGCAGGGGTTTTGCGAGCATCATTAATTATGAACCTTGTTGAGACACTTGTTTGATTCAGGGAGGTATGTAGTGGGCATACGGGGAAATGAGGAAAGAACAGCTCAGCGTGAGGCCCTGCTGCGAGATGTGGTGAGGACAAGGTGTTCATGGAATCCACTTTTTGGCGAGCCAGCTTCTCGTCCAAATTAAGTGACTGTTGGTGGAAGAGAGTGTTGCTTCTGGGTTGGTAGCAAAAGCGCATCAAGAATCTTTAGAAAACTTCAAAGACACCCTAGTAGCTTTTGGCCACTAGTATCTTTAAAGACATACTAAAAAGCTTCTTGTTACAGGTGAAACAATTCCCAAGCAAAAATCAGAACTTTACAAAACAAGTAGTACTAAATGTGCCTGCCTGCTTAGTCAGGAAGAACTCTTGTGTCTGAGGCAAAGATTACCACTGTCGACAAGTACCAAGGGCAGCAGAATGATTTCATCATCGCTGCTTTGCAGAAAACACAGCTTGCTTAGAATAAATTGGAGGCCTTCGGTTTTCGGTTGGAGGCCATCATTCTTAGGTTGGAGGCCATTCCGATTAGGTTCCTTTTGCTACTAGTCTGGAGGCCATGGCTATTAAATTGGAGGCCATTGCTATTAGGTTGGAGGCCATTGCTGTTCGGTTGGAGGCCATTGCTATTAGGTTGGAGGCCATCGCTATTCGGTTGGAGGCTATCGCTATTCGGTTGGAGGCCATCAGTCTTAGGTTGGAGGCCATTCCTATTAGGTTCCTTTTGCTATTAGGCTGGAGGCCATCGCTGTTAAATTGGAGGCCATTGCTATTAGATCGGAGGCCATCGCTATTCGGTTGGAGGCCATTGCATTAGGTGGGAGGCCATCGCTATTCGGTTGGAGGCCATCGCTATTCGGTTGGAGGCCATCATTCTTAGGTTGGAGGCCATTCGCTTTGCTCAATGATTCATCCGCTTTGGGTGTCCAACCGGTCCAAAGTTTGCACGTATTTTAGAAAACTTGCTGCTGATGCAGCGCATGCAGTGCTCCACTGATTTCTATCTCATGGTGTGATATTCATGGTGGTTCCCATTGCCCCATGCTGAAACAGTTCCTGAAGGGGAACACACCTTTACGTGTTCTGGTTGATATCCTCCAGGTTTCCCTTGTTCGAACACAGCATGTGGGCCATCTTCGAGATGTTCGACGCTTGGTCGTCACCATGAGCCGTGCACGCTTTGGGCTCTATGTCTTTGGCAGGAAACTTGTCAGCATAAACTCGGAGTTTTGCCGAATGTTGCAGCCTTCAAACCTCACAAAATGAACACATGTTGTTTTCCAAGTCGTAAGTGTGACAAGCGTTTAGTTCTTATGATTTTGAATAATGATGCAATATAGAGGGAAAGCGGAAAGCGTGCACAATTCTCGTTTTGAATATTGAAGTCACATGTTTGCTTGGCCACTGATTTTTCCAGCAGGGGACAAGCCTGTGTGCGTAGCTGATTGCCCAGCAAAGAGGCACATGCCACGCTGACGCAGATGTGCTTTCGATAGCCTGGGTCGGAATCTCCGTTCGTCAAACTGTTTTTGGACAGCTAGGCGCTGCTTGCATTATCACTTGCCTTACCACAATCCTGGGACTCAGGTCCTTGATACTCGCTTTGGCCTCTTCGATTGACACCCCACCGCTGTCACTGTACGTGATCCCTGTGTGCGTGTCAAGAATGGTACCATCGCACCCGGCACCCCCTTTCTGCGCGTGCAAGTTGTGAGCACTGCATGGTGGAAACTGCGCAGGTGCGGGTGTTTTTCCCGAATGCGTAGCGAAGGGTTCTCGTTTAACTCTGGGGGTCTGGGGGTAGAGTCTTGTTCGCGATCCGTTGTTTCTATGTTCGCAACCGTCCGCAACCGTTCGCAACCGTTCGCAACCGTCCGCAACCGTCCGCAACCGTTCGCAACCGTCCGCAACCGTTCGCAGTAGGACGCTAAGGCGCTGCCATTGGGGGAAGCTTTTGCAAGTGACTTTTCATGGATGTGTCACGTGTCAGTTTGCGACGCGATTCCATTGTGATTTGCATGAAAATGACATGTCGCACAAGAAGCGTGATGCATTTCGCTGCACAGGCGCAGTGGTTTGAGAGATCCGCAGCTTACTGCGCAGTTCCATTGGGATTAGCGTTTGGGAGTCGTGTTTTTGGGGTGTTGGATGTGGCCGTGCCATTGGGATTTGCTTTTCAGGGTGTGGCATCGAAGCTCTGTTTTCGTGACAAGTCTCAGCTGAAATGGCGATTTTCGTGGATGGGAGTGTGCTCCGAACGGGTCGAAATCATTCTAAACGTGTGGTGTGGTGCGAATTTTGTTGAAGCTCATGTGAGATGATATTCTCACTTTTCGTGGCAGGCACAGTACTTTGTGCTGATTTTGAGGTGTGGAAGTGCGATTTTCGTGGCAGGCGCAGGAAATCGTGAGGTTGCGAGGTGTGAGGGAGGTGACATTTCGTGGCAGGCGCAGTACTTTGTGCGCGTTAGACGTGTGGATGCGGAGAGATTCGTGGCAGGCGCAGGGAATCGTGAGGTCGTGAGTTGTGGTAGAGGTGAATGTCGCTGTCACATTGGGATTGGCGTGTGAGCGGGTGTTGTTTGGAGGGGCTGGACTCGCGAAACTGCTTGGCAGGGCTGCGTGATGTGTGTGCTCCGATGGGTGTTTCCGCTTGACTTTTGGAGGAAGTCTCGTACGAAATCCTCGTTTTGCAGACTTTGACATGTGAGTTTTGGAGGAAGTCTCGTACGAAACGCTCGTTTTGGAGACTTGACACGTGACTTTTGGAGGAAGTCTCGTACGAAACGCTCGTTTTGGAGACTTGACACGTGACTTTTGGAGGAAGTCTCGTACGAAACGCTCGTTTTGGAGACTTGACGTGTGACTTTTGGAGGAAGTCTCGTACGAAGCGCTCGTTTTGGAGACTTGACGCGTGACTTTTGGAGAAAGTCTCGAACGAAACGCTCGTCTTGCGCAGCCTCGAAGCGTGACTTTTGGAGGACGTCTCGTACGAAACGCTCGCAGGACTGCTTCTAGTGTGCCACAAGAGTGTCCCACAAGAGTGTCCTACAAGAGTATCCTACAAGAGTGTCCCACAGAGCGTCCCACAAGAGTGTCCTACAAGTGTGTCCTACAAGAGTGTCCCACAAGAGTGTCCCACAAGAGTGTCCTATAAGAGTGTCCCACAAGAGTGTCCTACAAGAGTGTCCCACAAGAGTTTCCTACAAGAGTGTCCCACAAGAGTGTCCCACAAGAGTTTCCTACAAGAGTGTCACACCAGAGTGTCCCACAAGAGTGTCCCACAAAATTGTCCCACAAGAGTGTCCTACAGGAATGTCCTACAAGAGTGTCCCACAAGAGTGCCCCACAAGAGTGTCCTGCAAGAGTGTCTCACAAGAGTGTCCCACAACAATGTCCGACAAGAGTGTCCCATAAGAGTGTGTCCTATAAGAGTGTCCCACAAGAATGTCTGGCAAGAGTGTCCCATAAGAGTGACCCACAAGAGTGTCCTATGAGAGTGTCCCACAAGGAGTGTCCTACAAGAGTGTCGTGGAAGAGTGACCCACAAGAGTGTCCCGGAAGCGTGTCCTACAAGAGTGTCTACAAGAGTGTCCCACAAGAGTGTCCCAGAAGAGTGTCCTACAAGAGTGTCCTACAAGAGTGTCCTACAAGAGTGTCCCACAAGAGTGTCCCACAAGAGTGCCCGGAACAGTGTCCCACAAGAGTGTCCTGCAAGTGACCCACAGAGTGTCCCACAAGAGTGTCCCAGAAGAGTGTCCCACAAGAGCGTCCTATAAGAGTGTCCCGCAAGAGTGTCCTACAAGAGTGTCCCACAAGAGTTTCCTACAAGAGTGTCCCACAAGAGTGTCCCACAAGAGTGTCCTACAAGAGTGTCCCGCAAGAGTGTCCCACAAGAGTGTCCCATAAGAGCGTCCCACAAGAGTGTCTCACAAGAGTGTCTCACAAGAGTGTCCCTTAAGAGTGCCCTACAAGAGTTTCCTGCAAGAGTGTCCCACAAGAGTGTCCTACAAGAGTGTCCTACAAGAGTGTCCCACAAGAGTGTTCCAGAAGACTGTCCTACAAGAGTGTCCCAGAAGAGTGTCCCAGAAGAGTGTCCTTCAAGAGTGTCCCACAAGAGTGTCCCACAAGATTGTCCCACAAACGTGTCCGACAAGAGTGTCCTATGAGAGTGTCCCACAAGAGTGACCCACAAGAGTGTCCCATAAGAGTGTCCCACAAGAGTGTCCTACAAGAGTGTCCCATGTCCCACAAGAGTTTCCTACAAGACTGTCACACAAGAGTGTCCTACAAGAGTATCCCATAAGAGTGTCCTACAAGAGCGTCCCACAAGAGTTTCCTACAAGAGTGTCACACAAGAGTGTCCCACAAGAGTGTCCTACAAGAGTATCCCACAAGAGTATCCCACAAGAGTGTCCCACAAGAGTGTCCTACAAGAGTGTCCCACAAGAGTGTCCCACAAGAGTATCCCACAAGAGTTTCCTACAAGAGTGTCCCACAAGGAGTGTCCTACAAGAGTGTCGTGTAAGAGTGACCCACAAGAGTGTCCTACAAGAGTGTCTCACAAGAGAGTGTCCCATAAGAGTGCCCGACAAGAGTGTCCTACAAGAGTGTCCCACGAGAGTGTCCTACAAGAGTGTCCCACAAGAGTGCCTTTCAGGAGTGTCCTACAAGAGTGTCCTGTAAGAGTGTTCCACAAGAGTGTCCTACAAGAGTGACCCACAAGAGTATCCTACAAGAGTGTCCCAGAAGAGTGTCCCACAAGAGTGTCCTACAAGAGTGTCATTTGGACATATGTAGCTTTTCGAACGTGTTTGCATTCGGGTTCGTGGGCTCCATCTTGTTTTTTCTGTATTAGGTTGGAGGCCATCGCTTTTGACAGCGTTCTTAGAAAGTATTGCATTTCTATCTATTGCTGGTGCAAATGCCTTTGCTGTGGCTGCACTGTGGATGGCGCGTGTCTTCTCGAATTTGCCTTTTGGATGTAGTTGGATCTGGTAATTCTCCCATATTACTGGCTTGGGGATCTCTTCCCGCTTGCTGACAAAAGCTGGAACGTTCATGCTTCATGCAGACAGACATGGGTTCTCATTCCTTTCCCCTATACAAAAATACTCTGAATTGCATGGTTGACATGCGCGTGTGCATAATCTGTTTGCAACATATTTGCACTCAACATGTTTCAATGGTGTTTTTT